AAATACGTCAAGAAATTCCTGTCCTAGATATTTTAGTCTCTAACCATGCCGCCCTCCATTATAGGTGTTCTCCTCTGAGGAATAAATATAAGACTCGCTTATTTTTGGGGAAACATGTGGTATTCAAGGTACCCACCACTGACCAATATTCAGATCAGGTTGCTTCCTTTAGGGAAATTTATGTAAATCAAGGAGGCAAATTTGTTATTTCCTGATTAACAGCTAATCTGGAATTAATCTAAAGATTTTTTTCCTCTTCCATTTGCCCTGAAGCCCATAGAGAAGTAGAAATGTTTTTTAACCTTTATTCATGTTCGTTGTGTATTTATGGATATTAGAATGGTTCTTATTTTTCCTTTTTTAAACAACAAAACTCAGCAGTGCTGCAGCAATATCCCTCTTACCTGCCTGTTTTGTACATGTGAAAATTTTCCTTCCATTACATGTTTAAACATCCATTCCTTGGGGCTTGATTTCAATAATTTAAGCTCCCTCAGAAATGTCTGAGCACTCTTACTTTAACCATCTGTATGCTTGTTGTCATTATAATATTTGGCTAAGTTTATTTCTAACTGTAGGTGTTTCTGTTTCCTTCATTTGTTTTGTCTCTTTGGGCCCCCTCCCACCCCCTCCACACACAGACAGACAGACAGACACACACACACACACACATACACTTCACATTTCTCTTCTGTGAATTTTTTCATTCTTATTCAGTTCCTTCTATTTTTACATTTTGTCAGATGATAGGTGATAAAAGGACATTTAGATGCTTTCATTTGGGCCGGGCGCGGTGGCTCACGCCTGTAATCCTAGCACTCTGGGAGGCCGAGGCGGGCGGATTGCTCGAGGTCAGGAGTTTGAAACCAGCCTGAGCAAGATTGAGACTCCGTCTCTACTATAAATAGAAAGAAATTAATTGGCCAACTAATATGTATAGAAAAAAAATTAGCCGGGCATGGTGGCGCATGCCTATAGTCCAGCTACTGGGGAGGCTGAGGCAGGAGGATTGCTTGAGCCCAGGAGTTTGAGGTTGCTGTGAGCTAGGCTGACGCCACGGCACTCACTCTAGCCTGGGCAACAAAGCGAGACTCTGTCTCAAAAAAAAGATGCTTTCATTTGCATTCCTTAAATTATTAGTGAGCTAGAATGCATTTTCTTGTGATTATTGGCCATTTGCATTTCTTCATCTGTGAACCATTTACACATTTTGTCAATTTTGATATTTTGTTACAGGAGCTCGACATGCATTAAATCTGATACCCTTCACTGATCCATAGATCTGTTATTTTAACAAGTCTTTATTGGGTGAATATTATTTGCTAGACACTACAACAAAAATTCATGTCCTAGGTCTCTCTTCTGAGATCTAGACTCTTATGTTTATTGAAAATGTCTACCTGCAGTGAGAAAAATGTTAGTGCCCATCCAAACATGCATGAATTGTCAAGGATAACATGCACAGACAGTTCAAAAACACTTGTTCCTAAGTCCTGCCTGGCCACAAAGTGAAAGGATGCAGTACCTAATACGAAGAGAGCTCTGGTTCAGGATTAGGATTTCTGTGATCTCTATGCTAACAGCATGAATTTTTAAAATTACATAATATTTTTGAGTTTGCCTTTTCTCACTTGTAACATGGAAACAATTATAGCTATTAAAGGCAATTGTTCTGAGAAGCAAAAGAACAAAATATTTTAAGCATCACACACAGCATATGGTACATACTGTACTCAATAGATCTTAGTCCCCTTCCTATCCCATACCAGGCCTTCCCTTAAAGAAGATTTGGCATAACCCAAATAGCATGATTACATAATGATCACATGGAAGTGTTAAGGGAAGTGTATAAGTTTCCATCATGTATTAACTCGTGTGTCATTACTTTGTGTGGGAGTGATTTGTCAGATTACTTAGGAAAGCAATAGTTGAACCAGTTTCATACGGCTGAAAATCATTGAAACCATCAGCCTATTTAACTTTATTTCATGTACTTTCTCATCCCATTTTTTATCTTCTATGTTAATTTCTCAAGAAAAATACGTAGAATGTAACCCAGCAACATGAGGCTTTGCAGAAGAACAATGCAATAGAACACTCAGAGCCAGGCACCTTATAAGGCATTAGGTAAGTCTTTTCTCCTGTGTTGGCTGTTTTTGGGTCACACCTCTCAGCTCCATATAGAGATTAGTGAGATCCCATCTGGGAAAACACTTTTGATACCTTAGATGGGAAGAAAGACACAATGATTTCCAAGGAACTATTTTCCAATCTAGACTGGGGAATATCATAATCTGTGTTTGATGAACTGAGTAAATATTATATAAGTCCTTGTATTATTTGGTAATTGAATGACCATTTGGGCATCATCATAGGGTGGAAGGAACATAAAGTCCCATACAAGGGCAGGACCCATGACCTCAGAGAGCCATTGGGACTCATGTTTCCTGAACACTGGTGCTTTCCTATGTCATGTATTTCCCGCAGCATTCCTGGGAGGTAAAGGCTGTGATCTCTATGCCATTTTGTAGCTGGAGGAACAATGATGTACAGAGGTTAAGAAACCTGGCTGTGGAGCATCCTGCACTGAGTGAAAAAGCAGAGCCTGGCACCCTACATGTCCCCGTGCAGACTGTGTGACACTGAACTGCACATCACACTGTAATCAATCAATCTTGCGTTCGTGCTGACTCTGGTCACTACTGAAGTCTGTATCTCCACCTCTGAAGCCAGGTTGCTCGTCCTGCCTCTCTTTCTGCAAGTCAGAGAACCTCATTGGACTTCAGTTTCCTACTGTGTAAAGAAAGACAAGGGAGCCTGCGCCAGTGCTGTAGAAAGTGGAGTCCCTAGATGACCTATATGGTGAGGGACAGGTGTCATGCTGAGGATGAGTGCTTGAGGAAGCAGACCTCAGATGCATGCAGTTCGAGGTCTGTACTGTAATAGAAATTGGTAAAACAACCTGGAAAGGTTGTACTAAGTGACATCCACATAAGCAGTATGAGACAGTGTAGACTTCCCCCAACACACACCACACTGGAATCCTCAATAGTTTCTTTTACACTTTGATGACATAACAAGTGGAAATTTTTTCACTGTCATCATATTTAGCTCAATATTAAGATGACTTTAAAAATTCCCTTGTAGACAAGATGCTCTGATAATCACATGTATTTTTTTTTATTGCAAAGGGATCTCGTTTCATATGCAGCCTAAAAACAATGAGTGAGGCCAGGCACAGTGTCTCACACCTGTAATCCTAGCACTCTGGGAGGCTAAGGTGGGAGGATTCCTTGAGGTCAGGAATTTGAGACCAGCCTGAGCAAGACAGGCTGAGCAAGAAAAAATTAGTGAGCTAAAAATAATTTTTCTAAAAATAGAAAAATGTAGCTGGGAGTGGTGGCACATGCCTGTAGTCCCAGCTACCTGGGAGGCTGAGGCAGCAGGATTGCCTGAGCCCAGGAGTTTGAGGTTGCTGTGAGCTAGGCTGATGCCATGGTGCTCTAGCCTGGGAGATAGAGAGTGAGATCCTGTCTCAAAACAAACAAACAAAAGAATGAGTGACGGCACATGAAACTGCAAGTTTTCCAAGTGCTGCTGCTAGCATGTAGGCTCCAGGATGGATGTGTGTGTGTGTGTGTGTGTGTGTGTGTGGCCTCTGGGGGCTTCTCAGAACAGTGTGCAAGCCTAGGAGATTAACACATTCACTGCCATGTGAATTGTATTTAACTCACTCTACTTTTGAGCCTGGGTCCGGCTAAAGCATATGTAATTCACACGTTTCTTTACCTTGAGCTGCATGAACTATTTTTCAAGTTGCCTATAACTCACACAGAGAAAACAATAAAAAATATCAAATTTTCCATTAAATTAGAAAAGATCATTTTGTTTTTGAAGTTTTTATTCTATTTTTGTAATAAAACACCGTGGCTCTGGGGAAATTTTTTTCCCTAGTGTGGCAGTCAATGTGTTAAGAGTGTCTCTCAGTGATATATGTTGAGGTCAAGTTTAGAGAGGACCCATACTACACTTTCTGGAGTCCCTTTCCTTCCCTTCCCTTCCCCTTTTCCTTCTTTTTTTTTTTTTTTTTTTTTTTTTTTTTTTTTTTTTTCTTTTTTTTGACAGAGTCTCACTCTGTTGCCCAGGCTAGAATGCCGTGGCGTCAGCCTAGCTCACAGCAACCTCAAACTCCTGGGCTCAAGTGATCCTCCTGCCTCAGCCTCCCTAGTAGCTGGGACCACAGGCATGTGCCACCAAGCCTTGCTAATTTTTTCTATATATTTTTAGTTGACCAATGAATTTCTATTTTTAGTAGAGACGGGGGTCTTGCTCTTGCTCAGGTTGGTTTCAAACTCCTGACCTTGAGCGATCCGCCTGCCTCGGCCTCCCAGAGTGTTAGGCTTACATGCGTGAGCCACTGAGCCCGGCCCTGTGCTCAAATATAATAGTGGTAGAGGGAACTCTTGTGGTCTCTTGACTGTTAGGTCAAAATTATTTTCCTGCACCACACAAATCATGATGCTGGAATTTCTTTTGGGTTGTTTCCATTCAGTAAAATATCCCAACTGTAAAGTTAAAGTGCACATGAATGCATGCTAATATAAGTACATGTTTGTATTGATAAAGAAACCGGTGAGAGAAGAAAATTGTCTTGATCAAATAATTCTAAATAATATATGTGGCTACTGGCACTTCAGGAAGTGAAGTTTAAGCCCCCTAAGGGCAGGGCTGACTTAGTGACTCACTTCTAAAGAACAGGGTGTAGGGATAGAAAATAGTTGCTGCACAGTGGAGAAACTTGGCAAACAGCACCTTAATCAAGTGATGAAAGTGATCACCAGTGACATCCTGAGAGTGTTCTTTAAACGCAGACATGATGTGATAAGAAGGACACTTCAACTCTGTGATATTCTTTCTCAAAACCCCTAAAGCCAGTCTATTCATGAGAAAAACAACAGATTAAGCCTGTACTCCTGACTGTCAGGCCTACAAGAGTTGTCTGGCCATTCCTCAAATGGCTAATAGCAGTTACTAGATGACCCAGCCATACCACTCCTAGGTACGCTGCCAAAAGAAACAAAAACATATGTCTACATAACAGCTAACAACTTGTATCTGAGTGTACGCAGAATTCTCATTCATAATAGCCAAAGAGTAGAAACAACCCAGATCATGGCTTGGTGGCTTGGTGGCACATGCCACCAGTATCAATTGATGAATGGGTCGAATATGGTGTATTAATCAGCAATGAAAAGGAATGAAGTACTGATATATGCTGCAACACGGATGAACCTTGAAAACATTACGTGAAATGAAGGAAGTCATCCCAGCAGAAAGAGAAACGGTGCGTGCACAGATAAACACGCTCTGCTCAGTAAGAGGCTCAAGATGTGAATGATTAGCAGCTTAAAGCAAGATACACATGCAGAGTTCCAGAGAGTGAGCAGATGTGTCCCGTCTGTTAGCTCGATTGTACCCTCTAAAGCTAGAACTGTCACTCAGATTTGTAAATAAAAAGGCAAACCTATAAGAATAAACCAAGTGATAAGCAAACCATGTCAGGAATATTAGTTAGGCCTCTGGCCTATTAATTTCTTACTTGAGATTTCTGAAGGTACTTAATTATTCTACTAAATGTAAACTCGCAAATTCAAAACTAAGTCGGTAGTTTTCCTTCTCATGTTCTGGTGTTTGAAATTCAAGAGCATAGTGCACTACTGCAGCATGAAGAGAAAAAAAAGGAAAAAAGAAATTAGAGAGCAAAGTATAATAATAGGTTCCTTAACTTTGGAGATTTAGTGCCTTAAAATATGAAGTCTATAATGATTTCATATATAAAAGTATATTTATTGACTGTAATATAATAAAAGATGATGTTAAAAAAAAAGAGATGAAGGAAGTCAGATGCAAGAGACCAAATAGAGTATGATCCCATTTATAGAAAATGTCTAGAATAGGCAGATCCACAGGACATAAAGCATATGTGTGGTTCCTGGGTTTGGGAGTGTGTTCAGGTTTCACTGTGTTCAAGCACCTTTGGACTTCGTTGGGTGATGGAAATATCTGAAACTCGATCACAGAGATGGTGGCACAACTCTATATATTTACTAAAAATCATAAAATTTGACCTTTAAAATGCATGTATTTTGTTGTCTGTAAATTGTAAGCAAGCCGTTAAAAATATCATATGGTCCTGGGCTTCTGTTGTACCATAGTAATGATCAAATTTTCATACAAAGGCCATAATGCATGTTTTATTTATTTGTTTGTTTGTTTGTTTTTGAGACAGGGTCTCACTCTATTGTCCAGGCTAGAGTGCCGTGACATCAGCCTAGCTCACAGCAACCTCAAACTCCTGGGCTCAAGTGATCCTCCTGCCTCAGCCTCCCGAGTACCTGGCATGCGCCACCATGACCGGCTAATTTTGTATATATATATATATATTTTTTTAGTTAGCCAATTAATTTCTTTCTATTTATAGTAGAGATGGGGTCTTGCTCTTGTTCAGGCTGGTTTCGAACTCCTGACCTTGAGCAATCCACCCGCCTCGTGACATAATGCATGTTTTATATAAACATGTAATTTATATAAAATTATAGCTGTATCCCAGCCCTGCTGACTCTCTCCTATGTTCCTCCAAGCAGAAACCTTTCTCTTCTAACTCCAACCTGTATCTTACGTTGGGTTTCACTTGTGTAAAATTGGATTTTCCTCTGATTATTTTCTCATCTTCCAATTGTGGCAATGGCTTGAGAGTGGGGCCACATCAAAATCCAGGTCATTCTCTCTGTGCCAGGATGCCAGCATTATTACTTCCTTCACTCCCCTGTGTGTTTTCTTACATAACTTCTCTTGGGGAGTCTAAATGACACTACTTTTATGGGTGTCAGTGTGGCAATACTTATCAGAGGGCTCCATAGGTGCGCACCCTTTGCACCAACCATTTACCTTGCATCAGTTTATCTTCAGGGTGTAGATAAGGACGCAGATAAGGATCTAGTTTACGGACTGCCATTCTGATAATTCTCTTCTTTTACTTCTGAGCCTTGTGAAACTTGAAAGAGCCAATCCCTCAAGATGAATTCTGAGTTGCAGACTGGGCCTGAATTAAAACTAGAGCCAAACAGCCATTTGCTGACTAGAGGTCACACAGGTACTCAGTTAAGTTCCGGGAGAACCCGCACCTCTGCTTAACTTTGGGACTATCATAGCTGCCTCTTCCTGTTTATGCTGCGTGAATCACCCAGTAGCCTGTTACCTACATCAAGGAATCAGAACTTAGCAAGCATCGACCAATCAGAACTAAGCAAGTTGCAATCCTTCAATTGCATAAGTTGATCTGAAGGACAAACCCTCCTGTTCTCTGGGCCAGCACCTTTGTTTTATATTGAATTCTGTATCTTCCTCATTTGCAAACTGGTCACTGGAGTAAAGTCTCTTTCTTCTAAATTCCTTTTTGGAGAACTTCTGTTCACAACCTGAATTTAGGGGAGGAGACCCAAGGGGACACAATGCCATGGAAAGTCAGAAGGAAGCAGAGGGAAATGCTGTGTGTTGAGTGACACGCACCCACACGCTTACATACACACTCATATATTGACCATGTTGTGTGATCACAATACTGGAATTCTCATGAGACCATTGCTGGGCTCCAGGAGGACACACTCAGCTCACCAGTGGAAACAGCCACTTGAACTAAGCCCTGAAGTGTGCCCTTCAGCAGGGCAGAAACTCTGAAAAGATGCCATCTACACAATGTAGATAATAGGGAAGATCAGAACACTCTGGAAAACATGGGGTTATGAAAATTGATTATGTCACATCCATAGGATGGAATTCTTGGTAGGCAACAAAATGAGCTATTATGAAGACAAAATGGAAGGATGAGTTTTGCCTATGAGATTAGCTACTATTCGTAGTTTTCTAAAGTGTGCAGAAACAGGAACTTTCTTACTGTGATGTTAGGAATATAAATTAGTAATAGTATTTTGATTCATTATGTTAATAAAAAATTTTAGTTTCCAGGGTTTGGGGAGGACACTTAAGGAACTTATAAAAAATGTTTAAAAAGATATTTGTATATATATTTCCAGAAGCCTTGTAGAATATAAAAAAAAGAAAAAAATATGTAAAGATTATA